ATAAGAATTTATTTGTTGAATAATTTAATTTCTAGACGTACAATCTTAATGAACTTAACTTGAAATACGCTTTTTACAAAGGTGAGGGTGAGGGGGTGGATATAGGGGTGGGGGGTAAATTACAACAAAAATCGAAATTATATAAAATACATATAAGTCTACATTTAAAATTTGCAAGCTCTAGCTCTAAAGGTGTAGGAGATATAAATAAATAACTAGCTTTCGATAAGGTTTTTGATCGATAATAAAATATCGGGAGTAGTTATCGATATATAAAGAAAAACTTGATATGCGCGTGATATACAAGGACCTCGGAAAAAAAATTTCAAGTCTCTAGCTCTTATATCTTCTGAGATCGACTCGTTCATATATACGGACGGACGGACGGACGGACGGACGGACAGACAGACGGACAGGGCCAAATCGACTTTGCTTGTCGCCCTGATCAAGAATATATATACTTGGTAGGGTCTGCCACGCCTCCTTCTGCCTGTTACATACTTTTAACAAAATCATTATACCCTAATTTCCCATTTTCAATGGGTTCAGGGTATAAAAGTGCCAAATTTCCCGCCAGCAGCCAGATTACCATTTTTCCTGCAATTGGCAGTTGAAAAAGGCCATATCTGGCCGGTAAAAGGCTAAGTTGGCAGCCCTGGTTCCCAGATCACTTCGTATTTGCTCGGCTCCTCACTTTTAGGTTTGGGTTACTAAAATCACTAACCAGAGAGCACATAGATGAGACAACTAGTGTAAAGCGTTTTGCACACTTATTTTCGAGCGTAATCTCCCAGACACTTCGTATTTGCTCGGCTCCTCACTTTTTGGGTTCGGGCTACGAAAAAATACGAAAGCACAATCATTTCGCTTCATGCGCTCGACCGAGATGCAGTGTTGCCGAAACTTTTTCAGCAAAAGTAGCAAAACCGAAGGCTGAAAGTAGCTAGAAGTAGCCAACTTTCTTCTAAAATAGCTGAAAAAGTAGCAAAAAAGAAAACAGTGCTGTTTTTTCATATAAAGTCAACTTTATTAATTTAATTCTAATAATATCTAATCTATGACCACCAGCTCGTCATTCTCACCATTGTTGCTTTTATAATTTGCCTTTTTAAGGTAGTTGGGTCGAACGCTATACTCATAGAAACATTTGCCATATCGGCGTAATCCATATGTTTTGTGGACATACAATCTTAATGAAACTTTCAAAACGTGATCATATGGCTAAAATGTGTGTACATTCCAAAGCACAAGTCTCTAGTACTTGAAATGCGTTTTTTACAAAATGATGGCGTCAATGAGTCAGGGTATAAAAACTGATAAGAAATGAATTTTGCATAGCATATTAGAAAGCTTACCTATTCTTCAGTTGTAGTATTAATTCTACACAAACCTCAGTACATTTACATTTAAAATATCGAAGCGAATTTTGTTATAAGTTCGCTTGCATTTTAGCTAAATTTAATATTTGAAAATAGCCAGATTTGTAGCTAATAGCTGTTTGAAAATTTTTGTAGCAATCGGCCTTAAAAAGTAGCCAGATCTAGCTACAAAATAGCTGATTCGGCAACACTGCCGAGATGGTCGACTGTTGATTCAACAGTGTTGAACAAAAGATCCCTCTATGCTCTATGTTTCCCTTGCTCTCTCTCTCTCACGATGCTCTCTGCTCTCTCGAATGTGTATATGTATGTATGCAAGAACCCATGCCTTCCCTTCTGTGTGAAGAGTATACCGAACTTTTTAAACCGTTTGCCATGCGTTTTCGTTATTATTTGTGGGAAGGGTATGAAAGCGTTGGTGCGCATAATGAAAATGTTTTCGCGACGAGCATACACACACACACTGTCCCTTGCTACATGTACTATGTACTGCATGTGAGCACAAGTAGGCTAACGAAAATTGAAATTTCTTCGCAGCAAGAACCCATGTCTTCCCTTCTGAGTGAAGAGTATACCGAACTTTTCAAACCGTTTGCCATGCGTTTTCGTTATTATTTGTGGGAAGGGTATGAAAGCGTTGGTGCGCATAATGAAAATGTTTTCGCGACGAGCATACACACACACACTGTCCCTTGCTACATGTACTATGTACTGCATGTGAGCACAAGTAGGCTAACGAAAATTGAAATTTCTTCGCAGCAAGAACCCATGTCTTCCCTTCTGAGTGAAGAGTGTTCCGAACTCTTCAAGCCGTTTGCCATGCGTTTTCGTTATTATTTGTGGGAAGAGTATGAAAGCGTTGGTGCGCATAATGAAAATGTTTTCGTGACGAGCATGCACACACACACTTACAGTATGCTGCATGTACTATGAACATTTGTATGCCTGTGTGCGAAGCTCTTTCTGCCTGTAGCAATTTTAAATCCCAGCATTTGCATTTGGTCGATCTTGTGAAGTGCTCACATACATATGTATGTATGTATGTATGTATATACATTTGATTGTGTGTACGCATGGGAGGCGCTGCTCACAATTTTGGGATATAACTTGTAGAAGCATTTGTATGCCTGTGTGCCTTTACATGTGCGTGTGTGTATGTGTTTGTATGTATGCATGGGAGATGAACATTGGCGTGTGCCTCCCTCAACTTAGAATGGTGTGAACGATTTTGGGCTTTGATTAAAGAGGCGCGCTTTTGTTTAAGTACCTGTTTTGATTCAATGATCGTGGGTTTACCTATCAGAATGAATGTTTTTTAAAAATTTTTGTAAAAATGATCAATTTGACCTATTTACGTATTCATCTTTTTAAAAAGGTGTCAAATTGACCTACATATGTATGCACAAGTGCAAGGGTTAAAAAAACACATCCTTTACAATTTGCACAGGCTGTTGTGCACAGAAAGAATACATTTTCGCGACGAGCATGCACACACACATTTACATCCTTGCTACGTGTATGTGCTTTTGTGTCAATTCTTTCTCAGTATTTTCGTCTATTATCAGCCCAAAATTTGCCGTTGGTCTGCCTTGTGAAGTGAGCACATGCATACATACATTTGTGTATGTGTATGCTTGTATGGGATGGCAAACTAATTGTCTCTGGATTTAGTAGTTTGTAAATTTTGTATGATTCGAATCGTAGGGTGACTATCAAATAAGCCATTATGACTTAATTAGAAATTTTTGACAATAATGAGTAAAGCTTGAGTATAATATGACATGTGTATTTCATATATTGCAAAGCATTTAATAAAGTTAGTAGTGTTTTACGATAATTTTTTCGGTTGAAAATGTGTATAAAATAATTTTAATTATATATAATTAATTATTAATAATTAAAATTAATTATTATAATTATAAACACATTTATAAACATGATTAGCAATAATAATATATAAATGTACTTATGTACATATGTATGTATGTTCATACATAGTACGTCTGTGTAAAGTGGTTATGACAGTCCGTAAGACCGACCAAATGCAAATGCTGGGCTTTAAAATTGCTACAAGCAGCAAGAGTAACGCACGCAGGTCACAAATGCTCATACATGTAGCAAGGGACTACAAGTGTGTGTACTTGCCCGTCGCGAAATAATATTGTTTATGCGTATCAACGCTTTCATACCCTTCCCACGAATAACCATCGAAACGCTTACATTTTGTTTGCATGAGCGTGACAAATGCTTTTATGATTTCGGTATACCCTTCACTCAAGAGGAAAGAGCTGGGATCGTCGCGAACAATATTCAATTTCTGTGCGCTGCTGCTATTTGAGAGACCATATAGAGAGAGAGAGAGAGAGAGAGCATAAAGAGAGGGAGAGAGTGAGGAAGGGAAAATGAGCGCATAGCCGTGCTTCATTTAGTAATGCGTGCATTTCGTGGCAGCAGTCGCACAGGGTGACCGCGCCGGACCAAACGAAAAATACCAATTTGGTCTCAAAAATATACTATAAAATACTATTTCATATTTTACAAAATACCACTATAAATACCATAACAAATAAATCGTCTGGAAATTCAAATTATAATAAAATAATAACTGAATTATTATATATAGAAAAAATAAGGGTTTTCCCATTGCAAAAAAGGTTTGTTGTTTATTTCATTTTAAAAAATTAATAATATTTCAGTCCAACATAAAACTAGAACAATATGCATTCGTATTCAATTCCATATTCCAATATATATTTAAAGTCTTAAAATTAATTAAATGCTTAAAATTCATTTTGTAACATTTTCTTAAAATAAAATAATAAAGGAACTTCTTTGTTCAGTCTTGCTAGTTTCTCTTAAGATCATTAAATTATATTTACTAGCCTTCTTCGTCAGAGCAGCTTAAATTCAATTTGTTGAAATCTTTACATAACACTTGTTCACTGGGCTTAAAATTATTGCACCCATTTTCGCGCAATGATTATTGTACATGTAATATATGTGATATATTTACATTTTTAAAGCGGTTTCGATTTTTCGTTTTGATTAAATTAATTTGAGAGAATATGCGTTCACACGACGGATTAGAAACGGGCAAAATTATTAAATCTTTGTTTTTGTGTAGCCGCATGCTGCTTAAGTGACGCCAGCCTACTCAAAATGTTAGTCTGGCACGCTTTGCAGTGCGCATCCATATTATTAGCGCTCCTTCCCAGCCATTTTTCATTTTCCGGCATATTCTCCCACTCAGCTCTATATTTTTGCTTATTGCTCATGTTTTCTATTTATTTGTTTTAAAATTAAGCAAGTCTTAAACATTAAGCATTCGATTCATTAAGACTTAAAGAGTGACCAAACCGAAAATACCATATAATACCATAAAATCGAAGAAAAATGCTACTAAATACCTATATACCATTAAAATACTTTTGAGCAAAATCGGAGCTGATAAAATAGCAAAAAGTATTTAAAATACCATATTCGGTCACCCTGCTGGTCAGTGTTCGAGCACATACAAAAGAATGAAAAACCATCGATAGTAGTTATCGAACATCGACTTTTTTCACAAACACAAAACCATCGATATATCGATAGTACCATCGATGTCTTTTCCAGCTCTACATTTAACACATCACTAACTGAAAACAATAACAAAGGGCTAACGACGTATTATTAATTTTTCCTAACGCTACAATGTCTTGGTTTAATCTTTGGGATGGATTGAAAACAAAGACCTGTAGATACCTATTACAGAGGTATCTGGGTCAGTTTTTTGAAAATAATTTAAACTTAGAACAATTAAAAATTGATCTGTACAATGGAGAAGCTGTTGTTGAAAATATATCACTAAAGGTTAAGGTAAGTTGCCTTGAGACTATTATAGTATTAATAATAAATTACATATACAGTAGGCAAAAAAAGTTTAGGTACACAACGATTTTTCTACTTAACTAAATTAAAAAGTGGTTAAATGAAGCTAAATAAACAAATGTACTGATGCGATCTTTTCAATTATATATAAAATATATTCAATTATATATACTTATTTCAATAAAAAACAGTTGAATTAGACTAAATATGTAAAAAAAAAAGAAAAACATGAAAAAAAGTTTAGTTACACTTAAAAAAACTTATCTACAAATATGTATTAATATTTATTAGGACCGCCTTTTGCAGCAATTACTGCAGCAGTCGACGACGCGTACTTCGCAGCTCAAAACTGACTTTAGGGAATCCTTTGAGGATATTTTATATTACCGGATCCTTTTATCTAGTAAATTCCAAATGTGCTTAATTGGATTGAGGTCAGGAGATTGTGGCGGGTAACTTGCTTTGTGTTATATAAAAGCGACTCCCTCACAAGATAAGAGGTGTGTTTCGGGAGCTGAGATTATTTTTCAATACTCACAAATAGTAGTGTTTATCCATATTGGTATCAATAAATACCAGCTTCCCAACTCCAGATGTCGCCATACACCCCCAGACCATGGCGTTTCCGTCTCCATGCTTCACAGTTGCAGTTAAACTTTTTAGCTGTAGAGCAGTATTGCGTTTACTCCATACTTTTTGGGCCCCATCTGATCCAAAAATGTTAAATTTGGATTCGTCACTCCAAATTACTGAATCCCAAAATGAGTCTGGATTGTTTAGGTGCTTCTGAGCAAATGCTAGGCTAACTCAAGTATGCGACTCGAAGAAAAGAAAAGAAGAAAATTTACCGTTTGAAATGTTAAAATTGACTTAACAGTAAAAGGGTCAGATGAAGTGTACCTTAACTATTTTGGACTGCATTTAGGTCGTTTAAGCCTTTTTTGGTGCATAAAGAGGTCACATATGAAGCAATCAAATTTTGTTTTGCCTATTTCATAAATAAATACCACTCTTATAGGTAAACTACGACGAGCTGAGTTGATTTGGCCCTGCCCGTCGGTCCGTCCGTCCGTCTGTCAGTATGTTTGAACACGTCGATTTCAGAAGATACAAGAGCTAGAGACCTAAATTTTATTGTAAAATATCCGTGTGAACCACGAGGATATCGAGTTTTGCTTCAAAAATCCCGATATCTTTCCATCGATAAAAAATCTTATCGAAGATAAGTCATAAAATTATATCTCATATAACTTTAAAGCTAAAGTCTCCAAATTTTTAATGTAGATTATATGCAATTTATACAACTTTGGTTTTTGTTAAAATTTACCCCCAACCCCTATATCCAACCCAACACATATTTGTAAAAGGCGTATTTCAAATACTACTGTTTCGGGGGTTCAAACCGATGTTGCCACATTCGCTTATCTTCGCTAAGTTGCCACACTAAGTCAATCAGCTGACTACAACTGATCGTAGTAGGCAGTGTGCCCAATCCGTCTTGAAATAAATTTGTCTGTTTTGAGCGAGGGCCGTTTATTTTGACTCGGCTGCAATATTATGAATGGAAATTCTTGCGACAATTTCTTGAACTTCCGTAATATATTACAGCATTTTGAAAATTGATGTTGTTTTCCATTCCACCCTGACCAGCGTTCTTACCACCGATCAGTGAATGATATTTATTTTTCTGTGATTTAACCAATTGAGTGTAAACACTAAAAAGCGTGTAAACTTAAATATAGTGAGTAAACACTAAAAAGATCACATACACAAGAATGGACATTCGTCAATTTTTCGTTAAAAGACCTAGGTTAGAAAATCAGAAGGTAAGTAAAAATTGTCATATCGAATACTACATGTTGGAATATCAAGTGAATCATCATGTTTTTGATTTCTTCAAACTTACGGTTATAAAAATATGTTAGATTTCATTTAGGACATTTAGCGACAAAACACGTTCATTGATGCATTGAATCATTGTTGCGAGTCCCACGGTTCATCGGTATTTGCAAATTGCTGCGACGCTTCCCGTCTCTGTTGCTCCGAGCGAACGCTCCCTTTCTTCACTAAGGAGGCTGAAAACGTACCTAAGAAGTACAATGGGTCAAGAGAGGTTAAACGGACTAGCTTTGCTCAACATCCACTCTAAAATTGAAGTCACTCCAGAGGATATTTTGAACGAAATGGCAAAAACAAGTCGGAAAATAGACATTATTTTGTAGAAAAAAATTTGAAATAAAGGTCATCCATTATATTATTAAGTACGAATATGTGTATTTAATATTTGCTGGGTCGGTATTTTTTGGCTTGGGCAATGAAAGATAGCACGACGAAATCAGTGCGCTGCAAGCACGCAAACGAAATGGTCCCTTGCGTTATTTGTCTCCATTTACAATTTGCATTGAATACTCATATATTTCGTAAAGGACTGTAAGTGTGTGAAATAATATTCTTTATGCGCATCAAAACTTTCATAGTCTTTCCAAAAATAATCATCGAAACGCTTACGTTTTGTTGCATGAGCGTGGCAAACGCTTTTCGGTATTCTCTGCATAAAGACAATGTTTTCGTGTCGAGCATGCACACACACACACTTACAGTTTCTACATGTACCCAGTGGCGGAAATGCCTATTAGTTTGTCAATTACTTATGCATTACTTGTCGCCTATGAGCATGAAAAGATCAATTACAAGCTCCATTACTTTCTTAATAAATGGCACGGCCATTTCTACCGGGTGCATGAAATAATTGAATTTTGTAATGCAGAAGTGACGAAGTTTTATTCGGTTCTCCATTACCTAAGCGTACACTTTTTATACCCTGAACCCATTTTAAATGGGAAATCAGGGTATAATGGTTTTGTTAAATGTATGTAACAGGCAGAAGGAGGCGTGGCAGACCCATAAAGTATATATATTCTTGATCAGGGCGACGAGCTGTCCGTCCGTCTGTCCGTATGTTCGAACGCGTCGATCTCAGAAGATATAAGAGCTAGAGACTTGACATTTATTTTCCTAGGTCCGTGTATAGCACGCGCATATCGAGTTTTGCTTTAATTTTGTTATCGATTAAAAACATTATTGAAAACCAGTAATAAATTTATATCTCCTACATCTTTAAAGCTAGACTCTCCAAATTTTATATGTATACTTATATGGATTTTATACAGTTTCGGTTTTTGTCAAAATTTACCCCCTACCTCTAATTCACCCCCTCATCCTCACATTTGTAAAACCCGTATTTCAAATACTAGGGACTTTTGCTTTGGCAAATACATGCATATTTATGTTATGTTCATAGTCTGAAAGTTTCAGGTAGATAGTCCATTCACAAGTAAAGTTATTAAACAATTAAGTTCTCATAGCAAGCCCACACTGCAGCCAATGCGTGTTTATGCGTGCGTACGTATATCTGTGTGTGTGCGTGTATGTCTGCATATGCGAATAATTATTGAAATAGCTTTTGCTCGAAGGGTTCAGGGGATTTAGTAGTCGAGCAGTCTCGATTAGAGCTTTCTTACTTGTTAGAATATTGTAATGCAAAAATTCCGCAGCCTGAAGAAAACGAATTATACATACAATTTCAAAATCTCAAATTCACTCGGTCTATATTTACATAACTACATATATGTATTGTTTTATTTTTTGTGGTAAAATGTTGGCTTCGCCAACCGACCTTTCTGAGCCCGCAAGCAAGCAGTTCATAAAAGTTAGCTCTTTTTAGTCCACCCTTCGGTTTCAATGGCATCTGTTAATTAAACATTACTAATTTGTTGTCATTAAATATAAAGTTACGATGATGTATACATACCAGATAGAGCTTAATATGAAAGAGCCTCCTCTTAGTACGTCTCCGCTTTTAGCGACAATCCGCTTATGCCGACGATTTTTTTTTTCATATTTTTGAGTCAATCACCGGTTATTACGACGTAAAAAAAAAAAAAAAAAACGCGAAATAATGACAACAAAATTCAGCGTAAAAAGACTGTTAGAAATGTATATATTGATCAGTGATCAGTACCCTTGCTTGTGTGCGTAGCAACGCCACAAATGCTGCTAAGACAGAGAGAGGGAGAGAGACAAAGTACAATGCCGACGTCACAAAAATGTTTCTAAAAAATGGTTGTTTTGATTAAAAATTTAAATTGTTTTATAGTAAAAGTTATTACGAACATGGCAACCGTAAAAAAAAAATGAAAAAAAAAAAATATTTTTTACTCTTTCTGGTTAAAGCGTTCTCCGGGTATAGCGACGTAAAATCGACGGCCCCTTGAATGTCACTATAACCGGATTCTACTGTATATCAAATTGTCTCTACTACAGCTTTCTTACTTGTTTATTAACTTGTTTTTATGTGGAATATTAATATATACAGTAGAATCCCGATAATTCGAAATAGGAATAGGATCATTTGTATTTCATTTCATAGAAATTCAAATTATCAAGAATTATCATAAACGAATTTCTTTCAAGGGGATAGAATTTGTTCGATTTAGTGGGGTACAAATTATCAATGTATGCAATTTTTAAGCCAGTAGCTCATAAATTTTAACGCTGATTAAATAAATAACTTTATCAATATAAGTTACATATCTTTATTTTAAATAATCTAATTTTAGGCCCTTAATGATTTATTTGAAGATCAAGGTTGGGCTTTTGAAGTCATATCTGGGCATATTGGATGTCTAACGGCAATGGTACCTTGGAATGCTCTTATGACAAATGATAGTTCTCTTAATGTTTCAAATTTGACAATAACTTTAAGACCAGTTACACGCTGTCAAAATGGAACGACTATGTTGGAATCTATGTGGTCGTCCGTGAGTAGTTCTATGCAAATGGCGGAGGAATGTATGAAGCAAATTGATGATGATATACCATTTTTAAACCACAACAATACATTGATTGGACTGGAAAAATTCGCTGAAACGATTGACAATGGTAAGTAAAATATAGAGAATACAAGTAGAGAATTGAAATTTAGAATGTACATACATACAGTGACAAACTAATGTATTGGCACAGTAAGATTTGATAGCTTTAGAGCAATCTTTGAAGTCTTTTTAAACGTTTTTATACCCTGCACCCATTGAAAATGGGAAATCAAGGTATAATGATTTTGTTGAAATGTATCTAAAAGGCAGAAAGAAGCGTGTCAGGCCCCACAATGTATATATATTCTTGATCAGGGTGACGAGCTGAGTCGATTTAGTCTGTCGTCTGTCTGTCCGTATGTATGAGGACGTCGATCTCAGAAGATATAAGAGCTGAAGACTTCAAATTTTCTTTTAAATGTCCGTAAATATAGCGCGGATATCGCGTTTAAATTTTATCGAACATCGAACATCAGTTATAAAATTATAGCTCCTACATCTTTAGAGCTACAGTCTAAAAATTTTAAATATAGATTCATTTTATTTTACTTTATGCAATTTCGATTTTTATTATAAGACACACACACTCTTATATCCACCCCTCACCCCTAAATTTGTAAAAAGCATATTTAAAATACTAGAGGCTTGTGCTTTGGCTTATGCACGCATTGTTATAATCATGATCTGAAATTTTAATGAAGATGTCTATCCATAGTGCAGCCCATGCGCGTTTGTGTGTGTTTCTTGTGTAAGCAGAAAGACGTGTAAAGTAATTGAAATAGCTGTTGATCGAAGGGTTCAGGGGATCTCGTAGTCGAGCAGTCTCGACTAGAGCTTCCTTACTTGTTCATTTTAATAAAACAAAAAATTACCTAAATAGAATAGGGTATTTACTAAATTATACAAAACAAGTATTAGGAAAAGCTTCAACGTACTTTTTTTTTAAATTAAATAACAAAAACAAAAATATATTATTTTAAATATATTTTTTATTTGGTATGCCCCGGCTGTAGCTCGGCGTTGCCATCGCTCTTGACCATATTGGCGCAGCATAGAGGATGTCGGACCTAATGACGCTCATTAGAAGGAGACGTCGTTGCTGTTTTAGTCCCCGCGTGTTAAGCATAATTCTTGAGAGAGCTCTACAAGAATCAAATGCCTTTTTATGCACATATTCTAAGTGCTCGCGGAAAGTTAATCTTGTGTCTAACATGGCGCCAAGATACTTAATCGCCCTCTTTGACGCGATGGTGACGCTGACGATCATTATATTAGCAGCTTCCACTCTTTTGCGACTGCTGACTAAGACGACTTCCATTTTGTGCGCCGCTAGCTCGAGCCCAGCTCCTGTCAACCAGCTTCGTATGAGATTGATACTTGCGCTGCACATATCCTCAGTATCCTTAAGCTCCTTGCCTATGGCAACGACAGCTACATCATCAGCAAAGCCAATGGCTGAAGTAGCTCTTTACTTAATTAAATTGGTTATGTGACAGGCCTCCGGTGCTAGCACCTTTCCCATGGCGTCTAAGAGGCAGATTGGTCTATACGAAGATGGCTCCCCTGGTGGTTTACCAGCCTTGGGTAGCAATACCAAGTTCTGGGGTTTCCAGGTTTGCAGGGAACGTCTCCTGAATTAAACATTCGTTATATAATTCGGCGAACGTAATAGGGTGCAAGGCGAGGACTAGCTTTAGCGCACAATTTGAGTGCTCGTTGAGCCCTGATCAGTAGACACGGGCTCAGAGGTATGAATGGAGCTTAATCTCTCTGGAAAGATTATTTCTACAATCGATTTAAGCTCCAATCGATCCGTAGGCTGCATCTGTTTACCTGCATATAGTATTTTAACTACTATATTATATGCTCTGCCCCAAGGGTCATATTCGGTTGAGTCACAGGACTGGCCTTCTTTAACTCTCTTCTAGCCACCTGATAAGCTAATTGTTTTCCTAAGTACGTGGGCCTACCACGTGCCCGTTGATAGCTTCTTCTTGCCTGGATGCATTTGCGTCGAATGTCACCTATTTGTGTATTCCACCAATATATATGCGTTTGCTGTCGCGTGAACTGCTTGCGGCGTACCACGTTGCTATTGCAGGCACTCTGTATTTGAGCTACCATTTGGCATGCTCTGGTCTCAGCATTACCATCTGTTCCCGGCCTCTGAAAAGGCCGCGGGTTCAAAAGTATCCAGCTGATATGATTCCCTTCACAATTTGCCGAATAATTGCTGCCCGTATAGCTATCACAATGGTCTCCAGGTCTAAATGTGTTCAAATTAGACTTTAAAAATAAAGCCAATTTTTCGATTATTCTCGATGAAAGTTATCGGATGGGTTATCGAAAAATAAGATAAACTTGTACTGCGTATGGTATACACGAGTATGCATGCCAAATTTCAGCTCTCTAGATCTAATATCTTCTGAGATCGGCTTGCTCATACGGACGGACGGACGGACAGACGGACAGGGCTATATCGACTCAGCTTGTCGTCCTGATCAGGAATATATATACTTTATGGGGTCTGCGATGATTCCTTCTGTCTGTTACTTACTTTTCACAAAACCATTATACCCTGGTTTCCCATTTTCAATGGGTTCAGGGTATAAAAAAGTACGTTGAAGTTTTTCCCAATATTTTTATACCACAGTGCGTTTCGGGTCATTATCTTGGTAAAATCTGACGTCCTCCTTTAGGCCCAGCATTTGAGCACCTTGAATTAAATATCAAATATCAAATCAAAAGATCAAGATATTTGCCTTTATCAATCGTAGTCCCTATAAATTCGTAGTTCCCAACAATAAGAGGGCCCATCCGAACCAAACGAATTAAATATGGCCTCATCATTCTATTTTCACGTACAAATCGGCATATGATGCTTTGAACTGTAAATCCAACCATCGCACCAATTTTTCTACGGGTATGGTCATTTCTAAAGTGTTTGAAAGCAAGTTCCCGCTGCTAAATAGTTTTGCGTGGTCCTACTTTGGTAAATTCACTTTTCTGCAAGTTGAGTTCTCCAAATTCAGCACAAATTTATATCATCTCACTGCGAAAACAGTAAATAATGCATATAACAAGAACTTACTTATTAACTTGTGGAACTTTCTTATTAAATATTAAAAAAATAAATAAAATAATTTTGTATTAGTTTAAACATCACACTAACAACCTGCGTTTAAATTTTTTCGATATCCCTAATAGTTTAGAGCAACAAACTTTTTTTAGGTGCTGCTTAAAATAAGCTGTGTAGCCCCGTACATACATATGTATGTATATAGTGACATAATCTTACTGATTACGTCTACAATATTCAGAAGCTGTATGGTCGCGTCATTAAGCTGATTCGTCTTTGCAAGGCGCGCAGCTTCGTTGACCGAGGTCTAGTATTCGGATGATGTGTTGGAATTGTGTGGTGAAATGCCCAACACTGAATACTCATACACTCACACAGCCTCACACAGTGCATAATAGACAATTAGAAGTTGACGCAACATTGTTAATGTGTTGGAATTGTGTGGTGAAATGCCCAACACTGAATACTCATACACTCACACAGCCTCACACAGTGCATAAATACGTGTCAATAGACACCCAATAGTCAGTCTTAAGTTGATATTCAATAAAGCAAGTTGTCATAATCCAACCTTGACTTCGTCTTTTAAATCATATTAGCGTTGCTGTTAGTATATGTCGCAGCATTTATTCGACTCGTAACAGTTTTATCTTAGTGGCGCAGCCGGTAGGATAGTAATAAATTGTGGATCCTGATGCAATAACTAAGTTATTAATTCTTGTGTCCCGTTTACTGCTATCCGCTAAACAACAAACGCGAAGGCAACCCACGCGATGGTCAATATCGCGTCAAGTTTTAAAATAAAACCTCGACAGTGACGTGTATACCGAAATTCGCATATTGCCAAAGCCGCGGATTGTGCAAAAAACTTGAAAATAATTCAAGAAGACGCTATAGAATTCGAAGAGAATATAATTCCAAAAACATTTGGTTTTCTCGCAAACCTTCGAAAGTGCTATCAGTGCATACAAACCCCAACATACGTACTAAATAATCAATAAAAATAAAATAAACCGACAACAAATAATAAATAAAATATAATTATAATAAATTAAATAAATAAACAAAATGGAAGGCGACGCAACAACACCCCTTTCTGATACCAACATGACCCAAGTGATTAATCAACTTAAAAATGTTGAAAAGTTCACCGGAAATAAAAACGCTTTATACACGTTCATCAACCGGATCGATTATATACTGGCCCTGTACACCACCAACGATGCGAGGCAGAGATCAATACTCTTTGGACTTGTTGAAAGCTGCATCAGCAGTGAAGTCATGTTATCTCTTGGCATGACCAACCTAACTACATGGACGGATCTCCGAAAACAGCTAATCCTAAACTTCAAGACGCAGACCAAGAACCATATTCTACTGGAGGAATTCAGGAACACTCCGTTCAAAGGCAACGTACGAGCTTTTCTGGAAGAAGCAGAACACCGTAGGCAGACATTGATGAGTAAGCTAGAATTAGAAAATAATCAAGATGAAAAAATACTATATAATCGATTAATTAAAACAAGTATTGACGACCTAATTCAAAGACTTCCTACCAATATTTGTATTCGAATCATAAATTGCGAAATTCCAGATTTAAGATCACTAATTAACATATTACAAGAAAGAAATCTTTTTGATGAACCCTGTAAAAATTTAAATCAAAACAAAGTAAAGCAAGATAAAAATTTTAAGCCAACTTATCCAAATCCAAATATTCAAAAGTTTCCCACATTTCTTCAACCAAACCATCCTTATGTCCCATATCAACCTTATTTTCAACAACCATATCTTCCACCTAATCATTATTCACCTCGACCGATGCAACCAACGCCTAACCCAGTTAGACCATTTAACCCTACACTTAGACCAATTTTCAGACAAAATCAATTTGACAATAATCGTTTTGGACAACATACACAAACAACTCCACAACAAACTCCTTTCAATAGTTTTGGCGTAGCCAACCAACCAACAAAGCGTGTTAGACAAGCAGAAAGTGAACAAAGTAAAATGAGTATAGATGAAGAAACTAGAAATCAAGAAGAGATAAATTATCGCGACTATATGCAGAAAGAATATTATAATCAATTAGCTTCTTATTCCCAATACTATCCTCAATATTACCAAGAACAAAGTTATCCACAAACCTCAGACTATACATACACACAACCAGCCACAACCGAACAGGAAACAGAACAACCAAATGAAATAGAAATCGAGAAAGCCGAAAATTTTCAGCTGCCAGCCTCGGAAACCAACAATACATAATTATCACCTATAAAGGAAAAAATATAAAATGTTTAATAGATACAGGATCTACTGTTAATATGATGACATACAATGTTTTTAATTTACCAATTCACGATACCGATTGTCTTATTCAAACCAGCAATGGACCTTTGACTATCACAAAAAAGGTGAATGTTCTTTCAAACAACTTGTTCAAAAGTAATAATGAATTTCTTTTACATCAATTTTCACCAGATTACGATCTACTAATTGGTAGAAAACTGCTTTCAGACGCACAAGCCGTTATAGATTATAAATCCCAAACTGTTAATTTATACAATAAAAAGTATAAATTAATCAATGATATTCCGATCACAAACCAAAATCATTTCGTAGCTCAACCAATTCTTGAAACTTATCAACACCTCAACAACCCAATCAGAGATAATTCTAAAAATCAAGAATCTATCAACTCAAGTCCTTACCGACTAGACCATTTAAATGAAGAAGAAAAATTTAATTTAATAAGTTTATTGAAACAATATCAACACATTCAGTTCAAAGAAGGCGATCAACTTAGTTTCAGTAATCAAGAAAAACATGTTATTAACACTACTCACAATTCACCTTTGTATACAAAACCATACAGTTATCCACAAGCATACGAACAAGAAGTTGAACACCAAATTCAAGACATGTTAGATCAAGGTATAATACGCCCCAGTAATTCCCCTTATTGTAGTCCTTTATGGATCGTACCGAAAAAACAAGACGCTATAGAAAATTAAACGACGTAACTATAAATGACAGACACCCAATACCAAACATGGATGAGATTTTAGGAAAACTAGGCAAATGCAATAATTTCACAACAATCGACCTTGCAAAAGGTTTCCATCAACTTGAAATGCATACAGATTCCATCAAAAAAACAGCCTTTTCCACAAAAAATGGCCATTATGAATATCTTCGTATGCCATTTGGATTAAAGAATGCACCTGCAACCTTTCAACGTTGCATGAATAATGTTTTGCGACCGTTAATAAATAAACACTGTTTAGTATATCTTGACGATATAATTGTATATTCAACATCTTTAAAAGAACACCTACATTCACTGCAATTAGTTTTCGAGAAGCTTTCTGAAGCAAATCTCAAATTACAACTTGACAAATGTGAGTTTCTAAAACAAGAAACTTCCTTCCTAGGACACGTCATAACTAAGGATGGAATAAAACCCAATCCTGATAAAATCAAGGCAATTCTAAAATATCCTATTCCCACAAAAACTAAAGAAATAAAAGGTTTTCTCGGACTAACCGGTTATTATAGAAAGTTTATTCCAAATTTTGCAGACATAGCCAAACCAATGACAACAGTACTTCGAAAAGACGCAAAAATAGACACTAAAAATCCAGAATACATTAGAGCTTTTGAAAAGCTAAAACAACTTATTTCCAATGACCCAATTTTAAAAATTCCAGATTTCAAAAATAAATTCATATTAACAACTGACGCAAGTAACGTAGCCCTTGGAGCTGTACTTTCTCAAGACGGACATCCTATCAGTTTTATTAGCAGAACCCTCAATGATCACGAAACCAATTATAGCGCTATAGAAAAAGAACTTTTAGCTATTGTATGGGCAACAAAAACCTTTCGACACTACCTTCTAGGTCGACATTTTGAAATCAATAGTGACCATCAACCATTATGTTGGTTGTATAAAATGAAAGAGCCAAATTCAAAATTAACCCGATGGAGAGTAAAATTATCAGAATACGATTTTGACATAAAATACATAAAAGGAAAAGAAAACAACATAGCTGACGCTCTATCGCGAGTAAAAATAGAACAGACTTATTTCGGAGAAGAAACACAACATAGCGCTGACGAAGATAACAGTAATTTAATTTGCATTACAGAGAAACCAATAAACACATTTAAAAGACAAATTATATTTTCCAAAGGCATTCCAAATATTACAAAACAGAATTACTTCAAAAAACTTATAATTCACATCACATACGACAACATGACTAAAGACAAAGCCGAAAAATATTTAATTGACTATTTTTGTACAAAAACTAGTGCAATGTTTATAGACAGTGATGCAGATTTCGAAATCATTCAAAACGCACATAAAGAAATTATCAACACTAGCCACACTAAAATTCTACGAAGCCTCATTCAATTAAAAAATATAAACTCATATGCCGAATTTAAAGAACTTATTTTGAAAACCCATGAAAAACTCTTACACCCCGGAATTCAAAAAACAAATATACTCTTCAGTGAAACTTACTATTTCCCCAACAGCCAATTACTGACATAAAACATAGTAAACGAATGTAACATTTGCAATTTAGCAAAAACCGAACACAGAAACACAAACATGCCAATGAAAGACATTTATTCCTCTGAAGGCAAACATTATCTTAGTTGCATAGACATTTACTCAAAATTCGCTACTCTTGAAAATATTAAAGCAAAAGACTGGATAGAATGCAAGAATGCATTAATGCGTATATTCAATCAGTTAGGAAAGCCAAAATTATTAAAAGCTGACCGAGACGGCGCATTTACCAGCTTAGCACTCAAAAAATGGCTTGAAAATGAAGGAGTAGAATTACAATTAAATACTACAAAAACAGGAATAGCAGACATAGAACGACTACACAAAACAATAAACGAAAAAATTAGAATAATCAACACTTTAAATGACGAAGAAAATAAACTCAGCAAAATAGAAACCATACTTTACATTTACAATCACAAGACTAAGCATGACACAACTGGACAAACTCCTGCACACATATTCTTATATGCGGGTCAACCAAAGTTAAACACTCAAGAAAATAAAGAAAAAGTAATAAATAAAATCAACAGTGACCGACAAGAATACGAAGTCGATACCAGATATCGAAAAGGACCATTACAAAAAGGAAAACTAGAAAACCCCTTTAAAGCCAATAAAAATGTTGAAAAAATAGATCCAGATCATTACCAAATTACTAACAGAAATAGAATTACACGTTACTATAAAACTCAGTTTAAAAAATTAAAGAAAATTAACCAAATTCAAATTCCACAGGTTTCTACTTCATAATCATACTATCATCAATAATAATAATGTTAGTCTTAATATTCAGGGTAACAAAATTATAAATATCAATCAATGTAAACTGCAAATAAACGACATAATTGTAAGCGATAACTATTTTCAACTAGAAGTTGACCTTACACCATTGTATCCCCCAATAGAAATTATTAAAGTAAAACCTATAAAACATGATGACATTGTAAAAATTGTATCACAAAATAATACTTTAACATATACAATCATTGTAATCACAATAACCATATTCATAATTGTAATCCTATATTTTAAATATGTATCTTGTAACCCCATAAAATTATTTCGAACAAAATTTAAAAAACAAATTCACGAGCCCAACAAGCAAACAACGCCATCAGTCCAAACAGAAGAGCAAAAACAGGAAAACACGATCATCGAGATGACACAATCAACTTTACCAAAACTTTACCCGTCTGTGTCACCTTGACTCGCAGGCTCGCCTCTTAAGGAGAGGGAAGTGACATAATCATACTGATTACGTCTACAATATTCAGAAGCTGTATGGTCGCGTCATTAAGCTGATTCGTCTTTGCAAGGCGCGCAGCTTCGTTGACCGAGGTCTAGTATTCGGATGATGTGTTGGAATTGTGTGGTGAAATGCCCAACACTGAATACTCATACACTCACACAGCCTCACACAGTGCATAATAGACAATTAGAAGTTGACGCAACATTGTTAATGTGTTGGAATTGTGTGGTGAAATGCCCAACACTGAATACTCATACACTCACACAGCCTCACACAGTGCATAAATACGTGTCAATAGACACACAATAGTCAGTCTTAAGTTGATATTCAATAAAGCAAGTTGTCATAATCCAACCTTGACTTCGTCTTTTAAATCATATTAGCGTTGCTGTTAGTATATGTCGCAGCATTTATTCGACTCGTAACAGTTTTATCTTAGTATATATGTTGAGTGACATAGAAGCTGAGCCGAAAACGGGTTGTGTCTGCGCAAGTGCTTTTGCGCGCATAGAGTGAAAGAGCATAGGGAAACAGAAACAAAATGAAAATATGTTAATGTATTATTGTTGATTGTATTTTAGCAAAAAATCTAACAATTTAAATTGTGTTCCGTGGAGTATTACTTATGAAGTGCATATCAAAACATGGAACTAATAATGACAAGTTACTAAGCAATATGTTTAGTTTATCACTGTATCTCTGGATTTGGACATTTTTCCCGAGGTGCTTTATAAACGTCTTAGAAATTTGGATATATTTAGATATTTAGATGTATATACAAATGTATATGTATATATGCAAATATAAACAGTAATTACATGTAATGATTTCATTCAACTTATCGTATGGCAAGCAAGTTTTTATTATATAGCTATTTATAATTGAAATATTCATATATTCGGATAATAAATTTTTTGGGATATTGTGAAACGTCTGAACTTAGAATTTAAAGAAATGGACATTATATAAAATATATCTAAATTACATAACTAAATGATCAATACAACTGTATTTATACATTATCTCTTAATAATTTGTCTATTTTTCAGTTCTTAATAGAATACATGCAAACTTAACTAACACAACGATTAATATCGAATATGTGCTGCCAAAATCATCTAAGAAGCTGATTATATCAATCAAAGCAAATCATATTGAATATAAAAACCAAACTGGATATGAAAAATATTTTTCTTCAGACGGAGAATTAATTGAAAACGGCATTACAGATAAGTCTCTCAATATGAAAGCGTTGCCAATGATAGCTAAACACAATCTGGTAACTTCTGATTTAACGATTCATACTTCAGAAATATCAAATACTGAAACTAATATAGCGGAGTTGCTATCTCTTGGACGGCTTTGTAAGATTGTTGAATTTAAGGGATGTCAAAATTTTAAAATAAGTGTTAAGCAAACCGAAAAAATTATTGGTCCAAAAATTAACTTGGAAGTTACAATAGACGATATTTATTTCATGTTGACCCCACGACAAACACATATGTTGATTCGGATATTCAAAGGGTTTGATAAAGTACGCCCAAATGATAAGTTGATGCAGAACTATTCCGAGTTAAAACCTGAAATACATAAAACTCATTTCTCTAAAAAAATGTCTGGAATTGTTGAACAAGATAAAGAATGGTGTGCTGAAGACGAAGGCTATAAAAAATTAGACTATTTTACTGATAACAAAAAGTCAAAAAAATGCGAATCTTTAATCTCTTCGACGTCTACAAACAGCATAACAACATCATATAGCAATGCTCAAATAAATGAGGGATCTGATGAAAAATCTGGTGAAATTTTAAAGTTTAAATTGCAAATATATAAAATTGTAGGTGTCATTTTGCATAGCGATATTCTATTTGAAAACGCGTATAGTAATATTGGGTCTAGCTGTATATATACCACTCAAAGTTTCACAAACTATTTCGAAACTGCTAGTCATTTTTTTCAAACGGCATTTATTGAAAGAGCTGACGAAAAATGTTATATTCCAATACAAAACAAAAATTATCTATTACTAATGGTCTCATCATTATTAGTAAGCGGAGATCAGAAAAGATTATGTAATGAATTAATTTTAAAAACAACATTATCAGCAACAATGTGTGACATCTGTGAAATTCTCGATAACAAAATCAATCATTTAATTATGTTCGACCGAAAAAAAGTAAGTTCAATTATTATTATCTTTTATTAATCCTCCTCTTCCGTATATAATTAAATATAATACGTTTTAAAGCTTATAAAAAAAAATATTAAAAAAATATTAAACAAAAGTAATTAAAATAAATTAATCATTTTTCTGCAGAACTGCCAAGACGGATATCACACTCGACCCGAAATTATTCTGTCACATATATCCTCGTGTCTTTTCAAGCAAAACCATAATATTACCAGCAACAAAATTGAATTAACCTTAGACGACTGTTCTGCTGAGCTTGATATTTCAATTTACGATAGATTAAGTTCGTTATTAGCAGCATCTCCATTTATACAGGAGGAGAATGAGGATGAAAACATTTCAAAACCTGTTATTACAATGGATATGAATATTAGATGTAAATCCATAAAATGTTATTTAAGGTAAGTATTTTCTTGATTTAGATAAGACGACTTAAGCGTTGCAATGATTAACATATTATTACAATAGATCATTATTTATTAATTTTATTTTAAGTCATTGGGATTTTCAACACAACACAATTTAGTCAGATCAGCAATTAAATATAAAAAATGTTCTTGGATAGAAGTATTTACTTTTACAAGTGTAGGAATTACCAGATTGGCATCACAAGAGATACTAATAAAATTTCGTAATTATTTAGATCATTCCGTCGCTTACAATTGACATCGGTTTGCATCATTAAATCCAGGTTCATGGCTGATTGTGAATAATGTGACTTAAAAGATAAATATATTATTTTTTTGCATTCTGCTAAGCGTGTAAGATTACTTTTAAAGCTGGGACAGATTTCAGTCAAACCAGGACTTGTTTTACAAGCCTATTAAGTGGTAGTATAATTTCCCGAGGAATATGCTAGCGTTGAAAATGGGAAGAGTATAATGGTTTTGTTGAAATGTATGTAACAGGCAGAAGGAAACGTGGTAGACCCCACAAAGTATATATATTCTTGATCAGGGTGACGAGCTGAGTCGATTTAGCCCTTTCCGTCTTTCTGTCCGTATGTATGAACGCGCCGATTTCAGAAGATATAATAGCTAGAAACTTCAAACTATTTTTAAAATGTCCGTATATATAGCGCGGATATCGAGTTTATCACTAAAGAGCGCTAACTCAGCCCGTAATTTTTTATCGATAAAAAACCTTATCGAAAATCAGTTTCACAATTATATCTCCTACATCTATAAAGCTAGAGTCTCCAAATTTTATATGTTTACTTGTACGCATTTTAGATTCTAGATTTAGATTTAGATTCACTGCTGCAGCGCCATCAAGCAAAACTAAACCAAACTAACTGCTGATGTGATTCTAAGAATCTGCTAGAATAACCAAACTATTAACAAGTAAGAAGAGACTGCTCGACTAGGAGATACCCTGAACCCTCTAATCTGATATTCTAATCAGTCTGCACTTCTTTTCGATACACATACATACACACGCACGTATTGGAAAGCGCGCTGCTAACTGCGCAGTAAGCAGCGACTGCGCTTGGGCTGCGCTGTAGTGTGGGCAATATTATAAGAATTTATTTGTTAAATAATTTAATTTCTAGACGTACAATCTTAATGAATCTTTCAGGACGTAATCATATGGTTAAAATGTGTATACATTCCAAAGCACAAGTCTCTAGTACTTGAAATGCGTTTTTTATAAATTGGGGACGAAGGGGGCGTGGTATCCAAAATCTGTAAATTACAAAATCTTTGTGTCCATTAACTCTATATACAACGCAAATTTGAAGTCTCCAGGTTTAAAAGTGTTAAAACTAGGCTGAAAAAACCAAGTCGATTTTTCGATTATTCTCGATAAAAAAGTTATCGGATGATTTATCGAAAAATAAAGCAAACTCGTACTGCCTATGGTATACACGAGTATGCATGCCAAATTTCAACTCTCTAGCTCTTATATCTTCTGAGATCCTTTTGCTCATACGGACGGACGGACGGACGGACGGACGGACGGACAGACGGACAGGGCTATATCGACTCAGCTCGTCGTCCTGATCAAGAATATATATACTTTATGGGGTCTGCGATGATTCCTTCTGCCTGTTACATACTTTTCACAAAACCATTATACCCTGATTTCCCATTTTCAATGGGTTCAGGGTATAAAAAAAAAACTGAACTAAGTAGGTCGTATGTCCCACTGTGCAACGGCAAGAGCCTAGCAGATAATTGAATATATTATGTGCATATACATGTACAGATTTACATGCGTATTATACATCAAATGAAAGGTATTAATGCGTAGATCATATATATACGAAAATATATGATCTAGCTCCTTAAGTTCAAGAGATATTTCAATTCAATTTTTATTTTCAATTTTTATAATAAAAGTTATGCCATAACTCTTATATTTAATTTTTATACCCTGAAACCATTTTCAATGGGAAATCAGGGTATAATGGTTTTGTTGAAATGTATGTAACAGGCAGAAGGAGGCGTGACAGACCCCACAAAGTATATATATTCTTGATCAGGGTGACGAGCTGAGTCGATTTGACCCTGTCCGTCTGTCTGTCCGTCCGTCTGTCCGTCCGTCCGTCTGTCCGTATGTATGAACGCGTCGATTTCAGAAGATATAAGAGCTAGAGACTTCAACTTTTTTTTAAATGTCCGTATTTACAGCGCGGATATCGAGTTTATAATTAAAAATCGATAACTCATCCCGATCTTTTTTATCGATAAAACCCTTATCGAAAACCAGTTATAATATTATATCTTCTACACCTTTATTGCTAGAGTCTCCAAATTTTTAAAATTTTTAAATTCACCTCACCCTCACCCACACTTTTGTAAAAAGCGTATTTCAAATACTAGAGACTAGTGCTTTGGCAATTACATGCATATCCATGTCATGGCTGATTGTGAATAATGTGACTTAAAAGATAAATATATTATTTTTTTGCATTCTGCTAAGCGTGTAAGATTACTTTTAAAGCTGGGACAGATTTCAGTCAAACCAGGACTTGTTTTACAAGCCTATTAAGTGGTAGTATAATTTCCCGAGGAATATGCTAGCGTTGAAAATGGGAAGAGTATAATGGTTTTGTTGAAATGTATCTAAAAGGCAGAAAGAAGCGTGGTAGACCCCAAAAAGTATATATATTCTTGATCAGGGCGACGAGCTAAGTCGATTTGGCCCTGTCCGTCTGTCTGTCCGTCCGTCCGTCCGTCCGTATGTATGAACGCGTCGATCTCAGAAGATATAAGAGCTAGAGACTTGAAATTTTTCCTAGGTCCTTGTATATCACGCGCATATATATCGATAACTACTCCCGATATTTTATTATCGATTAAAAGCCTTATCGAAAGCTAGTTGTTTAATTATATCTCCTACACCTTTAGAGCTAGAGCTTGCAAATTTTAAATGTAGACTTATATGTATTTTATATAATTTCGATTTTTGTTGTAATTTACCCCCCACCCTTAAAGTACTAGAAACTTGTGCTTTGGAATGTACATACATTTTCACCATATGATTACGCCCTGAAAGTTTCATTAAGATTGTCTAGAAATTAAATTATTCAACAAATAAATTCTTATAATGTTGCCCACACTACAGCGCAGTCCAAGCGCAGTCGCTGCTAACTGCGCAGTTAGCAGAGCGCGCTCTAATACGTGCGTGTGTATGTATGTGTATCGAAAAGAAGTGCAGACTGATTAGAATATCTGATTAGAGGGTTCAGGGTATATCCTAGTCGGGCAGTCTCGACTAGAGTCTTCTTACTTGTTTTTATTTCATTATCATCATATGAGATGTCTCTCATACCAAAAAAAAGCGCGAGTGAAACCCCGTTATGTTTTATTTTCTATTCTTCTCTATTTTCGCAAAAAATGTGTGCACTTATTTTGCGTCATCAGATTAGCGCCCCAAATGCAATTGTAATTATCTTACTAATTTTGGCAATTACACTCACCAAATTTTTTGTGAAGCTCAAAGTATTCAATATATTTATAGTATGGGAAAAGAAACAGTCTTATCTTTGGTTGAAAATCAAAGATTGAGGCATACTTTGAATCTAGACTATGCAACCATAAAATTGCTGAAAAAACAGGAAAAAAATAAAAAACAAAGTGGCAATTTTCTTACAAATAGGGAAAACTATGGAAAAAACTATATAAGCGGCAATAATCAAGTGATTTCAGAAGGAAATAGAAGAGCATTAGTTCGAGAAGCTTCGAATTCCCACGAATCGACCACCAAGATTAGGGTTAAAATCAGTGTTATGATGAGCTTATCAACGGTCCAAAGAGGAATTAAGAAAGTTAATTACTTAAAGAAACAGAATATAAAAAAAAAGACACCAGTCGATATGCTGAGAAAAGAAATAGGCATTAATTTTGGCCGGGCGAACATGACGTGGTCTATCCAATGGCAGCATGTTGCCTTTTCTGATGAGAAAAATGGAATTTGGAAGGAACTGATGGCTAAATTTATTATATCCATGACCTACGCATAGAAAAACATTATTTGGAACGGTTTCCAAGCCGCTGCGGCGGGGGGGTGGTGTGGCATTGGTGTAGGTATCAATGTCTTACTACAGCACTTGCAAGCTTCAATTTTTGATATCGCGCATGGACGCATAGGACTATAACATCGTGTTTTAAACTGCTGTTCCGCATTTCTATGACCTGTCTGGAAACCGGCATTAGATTTTCCAGCATGATAATGCTCCATTTCAGACCGCCCGATCCGTGTAGTTCTGGATTCAAGGCCAAAAAATTGATCTCATGGAGTGGCCACCATACTGACTCGACTTTAATATCATTGGAAACGTCTGGGGATGGTTGGTCAGGAAAGTATATGAGTCCGGAAAGCATTATAGTACAAAGACAGAGTTAATCGAAGGTACTGAACACGCTTGGTCAACCATATCCTTGAATAATATTGAACAACTTTATAATTCCATTCCTAATCGAATTTTTGAAGTAATTTCAAACAAAAAACGGCACTACGCACTACTAATATTACTTAAAAGTAATAATAGCATAAAATACAGGTGTTATTTTTGGTCATTAACTTAAATAAATTGAATTTAGCGGGCGCTAATCTGATGACCAAATTTTGGTCACATGTTTTTTGTACATTTAAAAAAAAAAAAAAATTATTAAAAATTATTCCCTATTGCTACAGTAGCCATTGTTTTATTATTTTAAAGAGTAATAGATGTAGTATAATACAAAAAAAGATGAAGCTTTGATGGTTTAGCTTTCATTCAGCTTTGAGGTTGAGTGTAAGAGGGGGCGCTAACCTGATGACGCGCAGTGTATATTGGTTTTGTGCAATGTCCGTCTTGCTGTCCGTCCGTCTGTCCTTATGAACGCAATCTATTTCGACGCTATTGAAGCTAGAGACTTGAAATTTGGAACACATTATCGTGTATATCTCCGATATATAAAGAGTTAAAATTTTTCCGATCCGCCCACTAGGGGCGTGGCAAATCGGGAAATTCATTTTCGAATATGCCAGAAATCATATTAATTGAAGAGCTAGAAAGAATATAAATCCGCATCGACCACCCAAGATCACGAGCTATGGTGGATATATCTACGCCCATTGGGGGCGTGGCAAATCGGCTAAAACTGTATCTCCAAGAATTTTACAGCTAGAGCGCTGAAATTTCGCACGTCAGCTAATGTTATGATTCTATAAAGTCTAAAGACTAGACTTGTAAGTCTACGCCCATTAGGGGCGTGGTAAATTGGACCTGAAGATATAGTGATTTTTTTAATTCTGCTATATTTTGAGCACTACAGAGACCTCAAATTTTGTATATATACTCGGGCTGATCACCCAAGACCAAAAAGTTTTGTCGGATATATGTCCGCCCAAAGGGGACGTGGCAAACCGCAAAAGTTTATATCTCCCAAAGTATAATAGCTAGAAGCTTCAAATTTAGATAATTACGATACCAGTAAACTTCTCTATCGATGACCCAAAAATAATGTTTACGCCTTTTTGGGGCGTGGCATATCGAAAAATTCCCTGTAATTTTCACATTTTTTGAGGGTAAGCATTCAAACTTTGCAGTTTGGGTACCGTTATCTCGTTCTAAGAAGTGAACAAAAATGGGAAGTCAACGCCTAGTAGGGGCGTGGCAAATCGGAAAAACTGCATTTTCTACAGTATTAGAGCGAAACATAACTACTAATTTAGTAGTTAGCTAATGGTATGTGAATGAGTATTCCTCAGTCGGTAACGCCCGACTGCAACGTTTTTACTTGATATCATATAAATTATTTATAATGATTAAAAATAATTTTTTTTTTTCAATTAAAAAATTTTTACTATTTTTATACCCTGAACCCATTTTCAATGGGAAATCAGGGTATAATGGTTTTGTGAAAAAGTATGTAACGGGCAGAAGGAGGCATGGCTGACCCCACAAAGTATATATATTCTTGATCAGCGTGACGAGCGGAGTCGATATAGCCCTGTCCGTCTGTCCGTCCGTCCGTCCGTATGAGTGCGTCGATCTCAGAAGTTATAAGAGCTAGCTATAAGGCTAGCTGAAATTTGGCATGCATACTCGTGTGTACCATACGCAGTACGAGTTTGCTTTTTTTTTCGATAAATCATCCGATAACTTTTTTATCGAGAATAATCGAAAAATTGATTTTGTTTTTTTTAGCCTAAGTTGAACACTTTCAGACCTGGAGTCTTCAAATTTGCGTTGTATATAAAGTTAATGGATACAAAGATTTTGTAATTTACAGATTTTGGATACCACGCCCCCTTCGCCCCCAATTTGTAAAAAACGCATTTCAAGTACTAGAGACTTGTGCTTTGGAATGTACACACATATTCACCATATGATTACGCTTCATTAAGATCATATGTCTACAAAATAAATTGTTCAACAAATAAATTATCATAATATTGCTTACACTGCAGCGCAGCCCAAGCGCAGTCGCTGCTTACTGCGCAGTTAGCGGAGCGCAGGCTTATGCGTGGATGCATGTGTATGTATGTGTGCATAAAAGTGCAGAATGATTAGAATATCAGCTTGGAGGGTTCAGGGTATCTCCTAGTCGAGCAGTCTCGACTGGAGCCTTCTTACTTGTTTAATTTTTTGCTATAAAAATTATAATCGTTACGGTCCCTGTATAGCACAAAAATATAAATGTTTCTATCTTACGCGCGTTCGTGCAAACATGTTCGATAATGCATTCGAGTGTTCGCATGAACATAATTTCTAGAAATAGTCAACCCATGCTAAAAACATGTATTACCATTAAGGTTACGATTTTGTTATCTTTCGCTTTCATGTTCACAATTCAAAGTGATGTTTCGCGTTAGTAGGCAAACATATTCGTGTAACAAGTTCGACTGTGGATACCCCGATTAACTAAACTACAAAATTTCAGCTTTGGCGCCTGATAGCTATATAATAGGCGTAGATATTAACCTTTTGACCTTGCGTGGTCAATTTGAGTTTTCACTAATACACTTTCGTGAATAAGTATAATTATATTACGTGATTTTTAATAAATACATTTTTGTTTACCTTTTATTTATTATTAGGTTCCCGGTAAACGGCGGCTTATCAAAAAACAGAGATAGAGTTGAAAGTTTAAAAAAAAATATAAGGAAGGACTATCTCTTATTTAATTTATTGAATATATTAATTGAGTGGAAATCATATTTCTGTATATTTGTTGATCAAATCGATGGATATTACTGTGTAAGTATATACAAAATATAAATTAGATATATAAATCTAGTCCCTATTCGGCGGAACCAGCCACAGGCCATGCCTCGTGGTGTAACGGGGTCTGTTCGGGTCTCGAGCGGGCCTATGGTTCCAGAAAACGTTAAAATGGCGTTATCTGGGGTGGCGAAAGAGGCCGATTATAGTCGGACTTTGATTCCTTTCCAGTAGCGAGAGCCGCACGTATATGAATATAAACGCACAGCAAATACGTACGTTCATATACATTAATACGTGCATACCTCTTCACACTCCCCTCGTCCTGTTCTAGCCTTTCCCCGCCTTATTGCTGGATTTCAGGCAGGCGTACAGCCCCACTGGAGTCCAACATTTGTTATGGCAAGCTTTCTACTGCGTTGCACTGTTGGTGGCGGTTTTAGGTGTTTGTTTTGTTGTTGGCTGTTTTATGAATCTTTGCTTAATTTGTTTTTGGCTGTTTTGTGTATCACTACCTTTGACACCTTCGTGCCGCTACGAGTTTTTTGTTAATTATCGATAACTTGCCCCGTTATTTTGTTATCGATTAAAAACATTATCGAAATCCAGTAATAAATTTATATCTCCTACATCTTTAAAGCTAGAGTCTCCAAATTTGTTATGTATATTTATTTTTATACAATTTCGATTTTTGTCAAAATTTCCCCCCCACCTATCATTCACCCCCTCATCCTCACATTTGTAAAACCCGTATTTCAAATAATAGGGACTTGTGCTTTGGCAAATACATGCATATTTATGTTGTATTCATAATCTGAATGTTTCATGAAGATAGTCCATCCAAAGCAAAAGTTATTAAGCAATTAAGTTCCTATAGTAAGCCAACACTGCAGCCAATGCGTGTTTATGAGTGCGTACGTATGTCTGCGTGTGTGCGTGTATGTGTGCATATGCGAATAATTATTCTTACTTGTTCGTTTTTGTTAGGTTTGTATGTGGGTGCTGCTTGCATGCACTGCTTGTTGTTGTATTCTGTGTATTGCGCATGCACTTAAAGCTAAGTTTCAGGTACACTACTGTACACTGCGTGCGCTCGCCATTCGAACACTTTGTTGTTGTGCACCCATCTACAGTTAATTTACCGGTGGCAACTGTGGTTTTCCAGCCACAGATACGCTTACGACAACAAAATTGCGAGATTTTAGAAACATTTTGGCTTCTTCCTTTTTTTTTCGTATATAAACCCGTGTTGCCAACTTTTGTTGAGCAAAAAAATCTGTTTTTAGTGGGAAGATACTTTAAAAAAAGCTGAAATTATGTTTTTACTGTATTGACATGACTAAAACGCGCAAGTGGTAGCGCGTTCGACCATGGCAAGGAAAGCAATGCCATTGCAAAAGTGGCCAAGTCCCTACAATACTTATAAGCACACCTCTCACCCTAAACTAAGAATTTCCCCACTGAGTTAGGTGAATATTCTTATTTTCGTGTTCAATACTTTCAATGTTCTTTGAAGAGAATAACTCTAGTATTGGAAATATACTATTTTTGTTTTCTCGCAAAATATATACATATGCAAGAAAACGAATCAACATTTTTCACTATTTATTTTCGGGCAACCTATTAATTAAAACATATTTAGTTCACACATAAATTTTTGTACTACATGCTATCACTAACCATAGAGCACATAGACCAGACAATGTAGTGTAAAGATCTCCAGACTTATATTTTTCATTAATATTTTCTTAGACTTTAGGCCTAGGAAAATATTTTAAGAAATACGTCATTCGGAACATGTTTTTGTTTTAACTATTAAATGTTTTCAACATAACATAATAAACTAATGACGGCAAATAGTTCTTGATATAATTACCATGAAATTGAATGAATGGAATGAACATAATCTGTGATTGTCGATTAATTTCAAATTCCTCCACTAACCATTGACATTAAGTACAGAACACATAGACCGGACAAGTATTGTAAAGCGTTTTACACACTTTTTTTTACGAGCGTTAGCAATTTTCGTACTCGCTCGGCTCCTCACTTTTAGGTTCGGGCTACGAATATATACGAAAGCACAATCATTTCGCTTCATGAGCTCGACCGAGATGGTCAAATGTTGAAAAAAAGATCCCTCTATGCTTAATGTTTCCCTTGTTCTCTCCATTATTCACTTCCTTCTATTATTCACTCCCTTTTATTTAAAAAAAAAAATGAAACAGCTCCATTGCTCCACGGCTTGAGATCCGCCACATGCGCCGTCCTCGCCTCTAACTTGATCCGGCAGATGACTGGAGACAAAACTGTATATGGGCCTCCATAACGCGTTGGTTTTACAGCGAATCCCTCTGCGGCATTGGACAAGTGGCGTTCTTTTGCCCACACTTACCTTGTCCCATAAGGCCGGCTTCCACTGCCGCGGCGAACACTTCGCGCATCTTGGTGGCTCTCTCCACTGGGCTCTGTGCCTCTCGGCCCGTGCTGATGGTTTGCGCGTCAAACATCGATTTGGGCAGCCTTGGCTCTCGTCCTTGCGTGAGGTATCTGCCAATACCCATCCTTCAGATCCAAGCAGCTGATGTATCGCACCTCTCCCAGCTGATCCAGAATGTGATGCAACCGCGGCAGAGGGTATGGATATGCTGGAACTTCTCCAGCTCATGCCTCAGAAAAACGTCCACCTCTGGATCCTCGTGCAGTAGCTTTTGCTTCTCCATATTCGCCTCCAATTGCAGACGCTCCAGAGACTGGAGCCGCCTCCACGTTGGCCACAGCTTAGCTTTTCCTCTTGCCGTCCGCTCGACTGTGGAATTCTTGGCTCAACCTTCAGTGTCAAGCCGTCACACTACAGTGTGGTGCCAATGGCGGCCAAGAAATCCCAGATTATTATAATGTGTGTCTATTCGAAAGCACAAATCTCTAGTACTTGAAATATGTTTTTTACAAATTGAGGGCGTGGTATCCAAAACCTGTAAATTACAAAATATTTGTATTTTTATATACACAGTAAATCTTAAGTCTCCAGGTTTAAAAGTGTTCCAAGTAGGCTGAAAAACCAAGTCAATTTTTCGATTATTCTCGATAAAAAAGTTAGGGGATGAGTTATCGAAAAAATAAGATAAACTTGCACTGCGTATGGTATACACGAGTATGCATGCCATATATCAAGGCTCTAGCTCTTAGAACTTCTGAGATCTAGGCGTTAATACGGACGGACAGACAGACAAACAGGGCTAAGTCGACTCAGACCGTCGTCCTTATCAAAAATACAGTGCTTATCATAATTATAGATCACTTTTAATCCATTTAAACGAATCGGCGGAAAATTTTTCCCAAATAGCATATTTTCTCAAAATATTCGAAAATGAGTAGTTCAATATTTCAACTATGAATGGCAAAATACTTATTCACTTAAAATTAACTATTTAATAAAGATTTCTTAAAAAGAAGTAAAAACCAAAGAAAAACAGCACCATTTGCTGTATCAAAATTATAGCCCATATTCATATTTTGGTAAAAAAAATCCGAATTCGTTTATTTATTTATTTATTTTCTTAAAGCTATTGACAAAAACGAGAGTCAATTTTAATTTAAAAAAGCCTATACAAAGTACACGATATAATTTCAATAGTAACACCAACCCGATGGGGGTATTTTATTTGCCAGTCCGGCCGGCTATGCCCACGTCTCACAGCCAAATATGGTCAGTGATACTATTGAAGCTATGAAAAGAAAGTGTTAGTAAGAAAACTTAAAAAAATAAAATATTAAAATGTAGGTTATTAAACAATATTTAGCATACTTAAAATAATTCTTAAAATAATAATAAAAAATAAAAAAATAATAATAATAATAAAAAAAAAATAAAATAAAATAAAATAAATAAATAAATAAAAGGAGTTAAAAAAAAACAATAATAAAAAAAAGAAAAAAAGAATAAAATAAGAAGAGATAAAGTATAGAAAAAGAAAAACGCCGGTAATAAGAGAAGTTGCAAGAAAAGTTAATAAAAAGAATAAGAAATAATAACAAGTAAGAAAGCTCTAGTCGAGACTGCTCGACTACGAGATCCCCTGAACCCTTGGAGTAATAGCTATTTCAATAATTTTTCGCGTCTTTCAGCTTACACAAGAAACACGCACACACACACACACACACACACACGCACGCACGCACACAGGCATACATACACACACATACATACACACACACATACACACACACACACACACACACACACACACACACATACACAAACAATTACATACATATACACACACAAGCATAAACACGCATGGGCTGCAGTGTGCGCTTACTATGAGAACTTAATTGTTTAATATCTTTTTTTATGGACGTACGATCTTCATGAAACTTTAAGATTATGATTATAACATGAATATGCATGTAATTGCCAAAGCACAAGTCTCTAGTATTTGAAATACGCTTTTTACAAAAGTGAGGGTGAGGGGGGTGAATTTAGAGGTGGGGGGTAAATTTTAACAAAAACCGAAATTGTATAAATTGCATATAAGCATACATTAAAAATTTGGAGACTAGCAATAAAGGTGTAGAAGATATAATTTTATAACTGGGTTTCGATAAGGTTTTTTATCGATAAAAAAAGATCGAGATGAGTTATCGATTTTTAATGATAAACTTGATATGCGCGCTGTAATTACGGACATTTTAAAAAAAATTTGAAGTCTCTAGCTCTTATATCTTCTGAAATCGACGCGTTCATACATACGGACAGACGGACAGACAGACGGACAGGGCCAAATCAACTCAGCTCGTCACCCTGATCAAGAATATATATACTTTGTGGGGTCTGCCACGCCTCCTTCTCCCTGTTACATACATTTCAACAAAACCATTATACCCTGATTTCCCATTGAAAATGGGTTCAGGGTATAAAAAGAAAAGAGTAATGGAAGAGCCAAAAATAGAGTATAAGAATAGAATTGAGAAATCACTAACACAACATTAGCAGCAAAAACGTATGCCAATGCTTATGCCTGGGCATTGTGAGT